AGATCTCAGCCTGGCAGCTCTCCAAGCCAGATGAGGTCTGTGACCGTAAATCCTCCCTGGAAAGACTTTGCTGGAGGTGAATGAGCAGAAGCCACAGGGAATTAATAAAAGGGGTTTTTTGTCAGGACCAGGAGTTTCCTTCAGGCTCTTGGGAAGCCTCGGTCAGGCCACAGCTGTTCAGTGAGTTTTGATCCATTTTATGACCTTTCTTGCCACAGTCGTTAAGTCAGTCACTGCAGTTCTTAAGTGAGTCACATGGCTGTTAAGTGAATCTGGCTTCCTCGTGGACTGGGCTTTTCAGAAGGTCGCAGAAGGGGATGGGGTGACATGGCAACCGTCATAAATATGAGCCACCTGCCAAGCCTGTGAATGTTGATGCTGCAAGGGCCACCGGGAGGAAGAGGGTCCGGAGCCCCTTTTCTCAGGGCCCTCCAAAGGGTCGCTAGACCAGCTGTTGTAATTTGAGGCCACCTGCATCCTTCCTCTGTCCCAGTCGTCTCCTTCCCTCCCTCCGCCCTCGGGGGGCCCCTTCCGCCGTGTGCCCAGAGCCCCTTCTCTGCCTCTCCTGCAGGAGAACCTGGCGGGGGCCTGCGAGAGCGTCAGGAAGATCCGGGCGGACATGGGCAGCACCAACGTCCTGCCCCCCCTGAAGTGGGTCATCCGGCAGCCGATCCACCGCGGCCACCCCCGCCTGCTCTTCCTGCTGACGGACGGGGCGGGGGCCAACACCGGCAAAGCCCTGGAGCTCCTGCGCAGCCACGCCTCCTCCACCAGGTGGGCCGGGGGAGTCTGGGCCGCAGGAGGGGCTCGGACAGGTGCTGGAGGAGGGGCTGAGGGAAGGGAAGAGGGCTGGCCTCAAGGCCCATAAAGGCAACGGAGCCCCGGAGCCTTTGGGAAAGTCGCCCTCTGGCCGAGCTTCGTTTCTTCCAGCAAAGATTCTCCTGTTGAATCTGTGGGTGACGTTTGCAGAGGAACCAGCCAGAGTTTCCCTCCCTCCGGCCCCCCCTTAATCCTGCCCCTCCTTGCCCACCTGCCCCTCCTCCTCCCCTCCCCTTCCTGCTGCAGGTGCTACACCTTCGGCCTGGGGAAGAACGCCTGCCGGAGGCTGCTGAAGGGCCTGGCGGCCGTAACCAAAGGAAGCGCCGAATTCCTGGCCGAAGGGGAGCGGGTGCAGCCGAAGGTGGGTGCTGCTGCAGTTGGGGCCGCACAGGGGGGAAAGTCCCACTGTCCCTTTTTAAAAAGACCATTCCCCTTCCACCCCGTTTTTAAAGGAACAGCTTCCTCTTTTAACCCCAAGGATGAAGGTTAGATTGATGCCGTTCCTATCAAACAAGACCAGGAGGAGGAGGAAGAGGAAGGGAAGCAGAGGGGAGGAGGGGATAAGAGAGGAAAGGAAAGGGAGGGAGAGAAAGTAAAGAGAAAGAAGGAAAGAAGGAAAGAAGGAAGGAAGGAAGGAAAGAAAGAAAGAAAGAAAGAAAGAAAGAAAGAAAGAAAGANCCCCCTCATTAAATCGGAGACCCTGAAGGAAGGTGAAGCTGCCTGTGAGCCTCTGGAGCACTGTTGCCTTCCTGCCAGAGCCGGCTCTGTCGAGCGATCCAAGGAAGGGGCCTTGGAGGTCATCTAGTCCAGCCCTCTGCCCTCCTGGGTCCCAGGCAGCCCCACAGGGGAAAGAGAGGGCTCTGGCCCCTCACCTGCGACCCAGCTGGACTCCTTCCCAGAAATGGTCGGAAGTCGAGGATACAGGGAGTCAAATTATGTCCATTCGTTTAGTGACCGTTCGAAGTTACGACACGGCACTGAAAAAAAGCGACAGGGCCACGTCGGAGCATCGCCATGGCAACGCGACCAAAGTTCGTGCGTTTGGCAACTGACTCACATTTATGACGGTCACCGAGTGTCCCCTTTGGCGACCTTCTGACGAACTAAGTCCACGGAGAAGGGCCAGATTCACTTAATGACCGGGCTCCTGACCGAACAGGAGCTCACTTAACAATTGTAGCAAGGACGGTCGTGAAATGGGGCAAAGCTCACTTAAGGACCTTTTTTCCAGTAACTCCCTTGTCACTCTGAGCAGCCACTAAACAGGACTGCTTGTACTGATTTGGATGGCCGTATCCCGAGTCACACATGTGGGGGGGATGCAGGGGGGGGGGCTTTGTGTCTCCTCCTCCTCCTCCCTCGAGTGTCTCCCTCTGATCAGCCCCTCACAGCCGGCCCCACCCCAGCCCCCAAGAAGGCCCGAGGAGGAGCCGGCCCACGGCGGCCATCTCTGCTCCAGGACCTGTGCCAGCTGCCCAGGGGCCCCAGGCGGACGGGGGCAGGGGCAGGATCCGGCTCCCAGGACCCCAGCCCCCTTTCCTATTTGGACAGCCGGAGCCCCGGAGAGCCTGGTAAGCTGCAGGGGGGCTGGGGGGCTTGCTCTGACTCTGGGAACCCGCGTTGGGTGGCTGTGGGAGTGGGTGGCTGAGTGGAGGCATCCGCCCCACGCACAGAGGTAGGGAAGCCTTTGCAAAGTCAGCGTCCCACAAGTTGAGCTTCTCTTCCTGTTGCCTGCAACAACAATCCTGCAGTTTTTCTCCAAGTTCTCATTGTGCAGATTCGCCTTCCAAATCTCTTGCAGAGGTATGAGAATTTGGGGGGGGGGTTTGTTGGTGTGGACCAGGAAGGACCGGAGCCACCTGGGGATGCCTTGCTTCCTCTTGTAAGGCTCTCCGGAGTGGGACAAGGACCCCCTGCCCAGATGGCCCCACGTGGCTCATGGATTCCCACCACCACGGGGGGGTCATCATCTCTCTGGCGTTTCTTGCAGAGTCTGCCCAGCATCCTTCCTTCAACTTTGAAACAGAGTCCACCTCGGATTGGGACCTTCCCGATTTGGAAGCAGGCTCCTCGGCCGGTGGCGGCTGGAGGGGGTCTCGGAGGTCGCCCTGCGTGGCCCTGGTGAAGGGGCTCCAGAACGGGCAGCCGGTCAAGTGGGAGATCACCTTCGACCTCGGACCCCTCTTCCAAAGCCGAGGAGACAAGAGCTA